TGTAAGACATTTTTCTATTTCGTCTCAAGATCATTGTTTCATCATTGCGCTTTTAGTGATGTCTCTGGGATTAGTGTATGCCTAGTCAAATTATGCTCCTAATTCCATTTTTATTATGCTCTTTATTTTAACATGGCCTTAGTTACTTTTGCCTATTTTATTTTTTTTCAAATACACAGTTTACATCTCTAAATCTAAACGCAGGTGAGGATTCAAGAGAACCTGGTAGACCTTATGTCCCCCCTCATATTCGCCAACGTGGAGGTGGTGGCTGCAGCAATAACGAACGCCAGGAACCCTATCAGCCCCCAAGATTTTCCCGCGGCCGCGGTGGAATTAGCGTAGAATCTCAACGCGCCCGCGGTAGTCGAGCGCCACCATCCTCGACTGGTGCTTTTGTGCGTGGCGTTTATGTGCGCCCAGAACATGGTGACGATAGCCCCTCTAACGGGGAGCCTGTTAGATGGTCAAATGAGCAATCGTAATAATTAGTTATTGTTTTAACTTAATTTTAGGGGTTTTCGCAGGGGAAGCTTTGATCGACCAGCTGAGGGCCCTTCTGGTTTTGCTTCGGGTCGTAGCATGGGATTTTCGCGTGGCGGCTCATATGGCGGTGGAAAATCCTTTGATAATCGTATCGACAACAGAAGATATTTTGAATCCCCAAGTGATTGGTCTCAGCAGCTTCCTGTAAATGAACGCATGCAAAATGAGCTCTTTCACAAGGCCAACACTGGAATTAACTTTGATCAATATGACAATATCCCTGTCCAAGCGACTGGCCCTGATTTTAACAGAGAAGATTCTATAATAAACTCTTTTGCAGATCTGCAGTTACAAAAAATAATAAGTGATAACATCGGCTTATCTCAATACACTCGGCCGACGCCAGTTCAGAAACATGCCATCCCTATAATTGCCAGTGGCAGAGATCTTATGGCCTGTGCTCAAACAGGATCGGGAAAAACTGCCGCATTCCTAATACCAATTCTAAATAACATGTGCACTCAAGGACCTGGAAGAGCACTCATTGCAGTAGCTGAAAGCAATCGGCGCAAACAATATCCAGTCGCTTTAATCCTGGCGCCCACTCGAGAACTAGCATCGCAAATATACGATGAAGCCAAGAAGTTTTCTTATAGATCACACGTGCGTCCTTGTGTTCTTTACGGAGGGGCAGATATGAAAAGTCAATTGGTTGATTTGTCTAAAGGATGTGGGCTACTTGTGGCAACTCCTGGTCGTCTTCTTGATGTGATGGATCGTGGGCGTCTGGGTCTTTGTCACTGCAGATTTCTCGTCCTTGATGAGGCTGACAGAATGTTAGATATGGGTTTCGAGCCTCAAATAAGAAAGATAGTCGAGGAAGACACTCTGCCCCGTGCAGGACAGCGCCAAACTCTAATGTTCTCTGCAACTTTCCCGAACGAAATTCAGGTAAGCATTTCATTTTTCATCCCTTCAAGGTATTAGCGAAAGATTTCTTAAGTCGTTATATATTCTTGACCGTTGGGAAAGTTGGAAGCACGAGTGAAAATATTACTCAGCATATCGAATGGGTTGAAGATCATGAAAAGCGAGATGTCCTTGTCGATTATCTTGCTAACTCCGGTAATTTTGATTGATAGTCTTATATGTCCAGATCCCGGG